GGGGTTTGGGGTTTGTTTTTTTTTAGGGGGGGTGGATTGAAAAGGCTGAGCCCATGGTGGGAAGGGAGCTTGGGCTCTCTGCAGGAGCGGGACAAAGCTGGAGGGTGACAAAGTGACAAAGGAGGGGACTGGGAGGGTTTAACGGGGTGGCGTCTCCGGTAGGGCCCAAGCACCCCGCTGCCCTGGACCCCCCGCCGGCGCGGGCTAGCGGCTGGCCCCTCCGTCCTCCCAGGGCCAGGACGCGGCCAAGCCCGCCGTGCCCCGTCCCCAGCCCCGAAGGGACGCCAGGCCTCCTTATCCTCCTACAAACTGGGCGACGGGAGCTTGGAAAGGCCGAGTCCCAGATCCCGAAACTATTTTGGGGCGATGCCGCCGTGGATGCCGGGGCGAGCGGAGGTCCCCGGGGAGCCCCGGCAGAGCTGGGACATCTCTTAGGGCCGTGTCCTTCCCCTAAACTGACTCTCCTTCCCCCAGATATGCTTCGCTCTGGCCTATTTATCACCGACGGCTCCGTCTGACGGCGGTCACAAGCCCGGCACCTCTGGGGACCCGCGCGGGTATATTTAGGCAGCGGCCTGCTCCGTTATGCAATGAGCATCAGGGCGGCCGCGGGGAGGTGGTTCCCCCTGGGAAACGAATGTAGGGTGGCTTTGCAAAGCCCACGGCCTCGGGATATGGGGAAGGACAGGGTGACCCAGCTGGAAATGGGGGTGACATCACCTGTGTGACACCGCAGCTCAGCCCTTTAGGTCATGGTGGGGCAGCTGTAACGCGGCCCGCTCTGGCACATCGCCTCCCCATGAAAGGGTCCTTTAATTCTTGGGTGATGAGCGAGCTCCGCGCCGCAGCCCCCCCCGGCTCGGCAGGGTTTGGGTGCGTGGGTGCCGTGGGCAGGGTGCCCGCGGGACGGGCGAGGAGCTGCAGAGGGACCGGAGCACGGCCCTGAGACAGAGGGGGCCGAGGGGAGGAAAGAGTTGAGGGACAGCAGCCAACTGGGGGACAAAGAGCCGTTGTGGGGGCCCACGTGGCCGCGGGACGGTCCCTGTTGCGGCTGGCACCGGGATGCACGGCACCCCGTGGCGGGGGGCTCTGCTCAAATGCTCCTTTG